ACCCAAGGAATACAGAAGGAAGTAATAATTAGAGAGGTAATCTATCAAAGAGGTTACCAAGAGAAAAAAAAATCAATGGTATCAAAAGACATTCTTCAAGAAAGTTAACAAAATTTATAATTTTCAAATTATACAGATTAGGCAAAAAGGGATAATATACAAACTAACAATATCTGGAATGAGCTCACATCATTAAAGTTTCTACAGCAATTAAATGAATAAGGAAAATTCTTATAAATTTTTGTTTTATCTCTATCCAAAACAAATGTTTTCTACAGGCAAAATAATAGTAATTTTAAAAACATAAGACAGTATTGAATCAACAGAAAGTACATAAAAATCCCAATAAATGTAATTCAATCCTCATTAAAAATGAGATGAGCCTTTGCCCACATTTTGACTATTTAGTGGCTACTATCAATGCCTGAGAGGCACATTTTTATCCTAAAACTAAATCAGGAGAGATGTATACAGATAAATCCTAACCCAAATAACAGAGAAAAACTCATATGTCCCTTAATTTTATATCTAGTCATTGATTCAAACTTTCCCTCAGTCACTCAAAATCTAGTCTTTTAATTTTCATTTACTTTACAATATTATTCAGGAAACATGCCTAGTTCCCCAAATCACCTCTAAATAATATTTATAAAATGCATATGTTGTGGTATTGCCTAGACCCACTTGCATCAGCCAATCAAATAAGTATTTAAAGGGTACTAGCAGAAAAAGTATTTGTCACTAGGTAGGTTAACATCCTTAATAATAAAAACTGACATTTACATAACACCATTTGTACAGCAATTTCATATCGAGTCCCCAAACATGTATTCATTAATACTTCCAATAGTCCTGTGCATTATTCAACAAACATACATCTCCATTTTATTCTTTTATAAAGCAAAGCCCTAATTCATAAGATGACATGAACCTGGTGACACTTTTCCTACTTACAGTCCATTTCCATCACTAGAAAGAACAGAAAAATACAGGACATCTAGGATGAAATAGGTTGGCTATCCTAATAATGAAATACCACATTGGCACCTGGCTCTTATCTAATCCCACCTTTTTATACGCGATCCAGTCAAACACTCTGTCAATATCTGTTGCCCGCAGCACTTCCTGTGATACTGGATGGGAACTGGCCAACCCGTCAAGGAGCATCACTTCATGCAGTACATCTGTCAGAAACCTCTGTTTTTCCTGCAATACAGTTGATGGAATAATATCATAGGTGATTCATGATTATGGCAGAATCTGTCAGACAACATGAACAGCATGTGTGTCACTTAACTGATGATGCTCATCAGTCTTACATGGTGAGACTCAAATCTAAAGGAAACTCAGTAAATAAAATAACCCCCTTAGGATACTCTAAAATAAAGACAGTTGATTTGAACATAACATGAAACAAAATCAATAAGCTACAGTAGGCCTTGAGTAGTAAGAACAGCAGACCCTGCTTTATCAGTGCACAAAGCAACGCTGGACAGTGGACACATGTAACAATGACAAGATGCAGGCTTGTTTGTACCTTCTACAGGATGAAGACTACAAGTCCAGTCCCAAATAACCTTTTAGGTAAAGCCAACACAAGAATACTATCTATTTATACCATTTTTATCAGGTTTCATTGGAACAGGTTAATCTCTCTCCCCATGCAACTCCTCCTTCCCACCACATGCATTGTTTTCTCAAAGAAATCCAGTAGACAACACATAGTAAAAGGCATTTCTGACATTAAACTACGGTGCCTGTAGATGTCTATACAAATGCAGAATAATGAACATAAAGGAGATCACCAGGTCTTAATAATCTATTCAATATTTAGAAGTACTGAAAAGAGAATCATGAAACTTCTCTGCCTGTAGTATTGCTCTAATAAAAGCAGATTCATTGTGTTAAAATAATGTAGAGCTGAGTGCGGTAGCACATACCTTTAATCCCAGCACTCAGGAGGCAGAGGCAGCTGGATCTCTGAGAGACTGAGGCCAGCTTGGTCTCCATAGTGAGCTCCAGGCTGGCTGTGGCTATAGGAATACTCTGTCTCAAAAAAAAAAAAACAACTTGTAAAGAAAGGTACATTTGTGTGTACTTGGTTTAAGAAAGTCTGCTTTAAAAAAATAGCTTGGATTTTGTTAACAACAACACTGACAGCTATTTATCCTCCTGGCCTCTGCCTTCATTGATGGAGGAGGGAAAGAAAAAACAAGTTGCAAAAGACAACAAGGGCTAAATAGCCCTCTAGATAGTTGGGGCCTGAGGAGCATCATTACAGAAATTAAAGACTCTACCACTTAAATTGCTCTACCTAATTCTGAACTCAGTTCGAAAATCTGCTCATTTTGAGATAGCAGGTAAACACAGTGTTATTTTGGATTGAGTTGTAATTTCAAGCTGAGAGTACACCAATCCTAGTCTTAAAGAAACTTAAAGTCTGAATATCCTGCCGAAAGAATGTGTGTGTGTGTTTGTGTGCATGTGTGTGTGTGTGTGTGTTCATTCAAATCTAGTTTTTACCTCTTAGCAACATGCTCTGTTCCAAAGGCACCCCCCCAAAAAAACCAAACAAACAAACAAAAAAACCCATGTTTTTCTTTAAAAAAAAAAAAAGAATTCTCAAAGAATCAAATCTGATTTTTAAAAACATTTTAATCATCTTCAGTTGGCCAATTACTCAGTATACTTAATAATTTAATTAATCAACTATTTTCAAATAAGGTTCATTTTCTAATACTGTTTAAGCTATCTATGGCTCATATGTCTAATTTCTTCACTTCTCTTGTGTTCTAAGAATTTCACAATTCTCTTTGACCCAATGAAGAAGATTACACAGTAAAGATAGAACCAAACACTTCTCTGAGTCCAAGAAAGATCCTGACTCCCGAGACTATGGAAGCAAAGTTCAAACTCAGCCTGAATTCAGTGGCAAATTTGATATAAATTAATTTATCTCAAATTAATTTCTACTTCATGACACAAAAATTGAACCTGATGATTTTAAATGTTAGGGCTCTGACTGCTATTTCCGCTGCTCACGAAGTCCAGTAAACAATACGATCTCAAAGGGCCTAGACAGAGAAAATCAATGATAATTCCAAAATAAAAATACATAATTTCATTTGAGAAGGCACAAGTCTTAAAATACATATAAAACTATGTGATCTTACAATAAAGAGAAAACGTACAAAATGTATATTCATACTTCAACTTGACCAATTAACACTGATTCATAAGGAGTATCAAAGATATGATGCAATTCAGAAAATAAAATAATATCCAGTTCTTCAAATAGTGATTGTGATAGACATGTAAAATAAATTTTAAATGATGCTTTATTTGAATCTTAATTTTTAATTTTTGGTAATAGTAAAAATATATTGATAAAAATTAAAATTTAGTGGGTAGTCTTTAATATGCTAGAGTTCTGCTGTTTGAAAGTGGCATAGTGTAAATGGATTTCAAAAGTGAAATCCAAACTAAATTTCAAAGAAGAAATTTTATTGTTAAAGGAAATATCAATGATATATGATATGTTACTTCATGCTTCTGGGGAAAACAAAAATAAATCTTTCCTAGTTAATAGAATTTCAATAAACAGTATTAATTTAGCATAGGTAAACCATGAGTAAAAAAATGTATCTTCTACCTTGTTTGGAGAGTGATATTAAGTAATGGAGGAAAAGACTCATATGGAAAGATAGGTTGGAGCTGGGAGTTCCTGGCAGGAGAGTACTCATAAAACACAGAATACAGAGCACAATACATTGATGGGGGGAAAAAGAAAGAAAATTCCAGCCAAAGGCAAACCCAATTCAACAAAACTACAAACATGTTATAGAAGAAAGGGTACTGATATTTTTTATAAACACCTGCATTACTATGAAGTAAGACGTGGTCTGTACAGAGGCCACATCATCCACAGCAAAAGCAACTACAGTAACAATCGCAAAACTTACTAAGAATTGGTTAATTGCCTACCACGTATCTGGACTATAAGGGTTTTTAAATGTAGCAAAAGAAGTCTTAAGGGTTATATTAGACAAGAAATAACAACAAAGTGAATGAAATAGTACTTTTTTTTAATGGATTAAAATTACCAATGAGATTTTGAGAAATATTCTATGATAATAGAATTATCTGTAGTTACTTTCTTTAAAGAGGTAAAATTTTATGTAACCTTGAAGAAAGGTTGGTTGTGTGTGGGGTGTGTGGGGTGTGTGCGAGTGTGTGTGTGTGTGTCTGTGTGTGTGTGTGTCTGTGTGTGTGTGTGCGTGTAACTCCAATTCCAAGGGAATCCGATGCCCACTTCTGACCTCCGCAGGTACTGCTCGACAGAGGTGCACTTACATAAATGAAGGCAATACACACTATAAATAAAAATAATAAATACATTCTGTAAGGAGTGTCTTAGGAAATTAACTTATCTACGGCCTACATGGTGTGTACAGCCTTGAGATAAAAAGTGACCTAGGAAAGGATTGGTAATGCTGGATTAGAACAATTTAACGAATGTGCTACAGAAGGACAGTTGGATTTGGGAGCTATTTTAAGCAGCTCTCATGCTTTGATGTTTTAGTGTCCTGAAAATAAACAGAGAAGAAACATTCAGAAATACACTATGGTTTTAGATTTGTTGGAACTTAAAAAGTTATGGAGTACTGACAAAAATGGGGAAGTGGGCAAAGTATGGTTTGCAGAGTAAGCTCAAAAGATCAGTTCTGGATGGTGGCAGAACGAGCCCCACTGCTGTGCTGAACCATGTGAAGAACCTTACCAACCATGCAATAAGAATGTTTCCCTGACCAGAGGTGCTTCTATATTAATCTAAAAATGCTGAACTGAGGACTTGGCTAGTAAAAAAGAAAAGAACTGGGAAGTCAAGACAGCGGTGACACAGCTGCAGGTGCTAGAGAATTGGTGCTGGGGTCTGCTCTCTGCAGGGGCTTAAAACATGACTCTGGGCCTCTTAGTTTTAATAAAGTCATGCTGGCTTGGCTGCCCACAACCTCTGGCTACCACCTGTGCCCCTGGGCCACTGGACCACTCTCCCTGCTACCTTGTGACCACCAACGTCAGCAAGAAGACCAGAGGACTAGGGCAGCCAGGAAGGGTTGTGACCACCCCACCATGCAGCACCTTGGTGCATCTCTCTGTCTGGGAGCTGGGCCTTCTGGTAGTCACTACACAGCTCACCCATCACCATCAGTCAACCATCATCATCACCAAGTGGCTGTAGTCCTCAGCAACATATGGAATCTTAGAAGTCTACAGATTTCAGAAAATAAGCTAGAGGACACTGTTTTAAAGGTTTTGTGTGGAGCTGTGAAACACCCCAACTGCCTGTGAGCTAACTGCTGCCTGCTGTGAGGACCTAGTTTCTGCTTTTACACACAGTAAAACCCTCTGGGGATTCAACCTGTTTGAGAAGTCTTGGACCCCAGTGCGGTAAGTGTGCTGGAATGAGGCCTGAAAACAGTTAAAGTGTAGCTTGCATATTCTCAGGCTGCAAATAACTGACTTTGATGAGGAAACCCAAACATTTCTGATTGCTGAGGAGGAGAGAAATCTCTACTTGACAATCCTAAGCAGTGTGTAAGAGAAACAGAAAACAAATATGAAAAATTGATTCTGAGAAACCTGGGTATATTCTGACCTAAAACAATGTATGCAAGAAAGGGAATGGGCCTATACTTTGGCCCATCTGTGTGTGAAAAATATAGATCCCTGACATTCTAATCAGACATGATCTCTCTGGCACCCAGTTCATATGTGTGGTATAAGACGAGTGTGGTTTTTCATTTGCTAATAGGGGTGATGAAGTTTGGGGAAAGGGTGGAGTTGGGGGAGAGGGTCTGAATATGATGAAAATACATTGTATGCAATTCTTTGGGAAAAAAGATCAGTTTTATACATGTCAATAAAAATGACTGGGAACATGCACAGAAACTTGCTACAAGCAACTGTGACTGAATATTTGAATCTAAGAGAAAGAGCTAAATATCTTTAGACAATACATAGTAGTTGTATAGAAATACAAATAAAGCATCCGAATTCGCTTCCTAATTTTTTTTTTTTTTTTTTTTTTTTGAGACAGGGTTTCCTTGTAGCCCCAGCTGTCCTGGAACTCACTATGTAGTCCAGGCTGGCCTCGAACTCACAAAGATCTGCCTGCCTCTACCTCCCAACAGTAGCATGTCACA